CATTCACTGCTGCAGTTTTAAAGGAACACACTCCAGACAGTTTCAAAGTTGTCCCTTGTCTGCGCTTCGATTCGTTTTCTCCTATTTTCCACACATGTTCCCATCTTAAACACAGCAGACACGGATGGCGTCGCACACAGAACCGTTCACATTTGAACTAGCGTGACTTGCTGCATGCTCTCTTTCACGTCCTCCAAATTCATAACCCAGCACCGTCGAGTTACTTATTGCTGATATCAACCCAAATTGGGTCAAATCAAGCCAGCTTCCTAACCTAACAGTCTCAACTGAGCATTTGGATTGAAACAATTACCAGAGTGTTTTATATGTGTAGGCTATAAAAAAGTACACAGTGTACGTTTTTGCTAAATCGCTTGCAAATATAAGATTGTTGTTAGGTCATACATACCACGTAATATTAGAATAGGTACCCCTTAGTTTCAAAATACTTACAGTAGAAATAATTTGTAATTTTACAGATTATTACTCCTTTATTCCCCAAACTTCGCATATTGTTCCCTTATACCTACACAGAGGTACTGAACAGGTACACTGTAATTACAAAAAAAAGTTACGCTGTAAATTATGTTTACTTATGCAGTACATTTGCGGGTTGTAATCTAAAGCGTTACCCACTTTTCTTAGAGTCGACTGGAAACTCACATTCAGATCTTCCTTCATTTAATCAACCAACTCGTCACCCTACTGTACTTTTTTACGAGAATCCGTTTCACTGAAATGTTCACCACAAATTCAATACAGTTATACAAGATCTGTCGCTATTTCTCTGTCATTGCATTTTTATTTAGTTTTTGTTAACAATAATAACACTACCAACATGATAATTGAATTATACAATGCTGAGTGTTTAATTGGACTACACTAACCAGCCAAACCTTGATCCCTCAGTTGGGTCAAACTCACGGTGAGCTAAGTACCCCATGGACCCTTGGCCTGGGATAATCTGAATGACTGTAATGTTTTCATGGAAAAATCCAACAGATTCAGTAGACCCTATATACTGTATGTTCATTCAAAAACATGTTTCTGATAAAACAGTTTTTTGTGAGTCGTCCACATGCCGTTACAAAGAACAGTGTAGGTGTAACACTGTAAGGTCTCGTGTGAATCACCATAACCTGTTGTCCTCTTGTTCCGTGCAGCATCCTGTTTGCAGACATTGTGGGCTTTACCAGTCTAGCTTCACAGTGCACAGCCCAGGAGCTGGTCAAACTGCTGAACGAGCTCTTCGGGAAGTTTGATGAACTCGCTACAGTAAGTAATGCTATTGACGTGTGTGGAGAGAATCTTAAATCAGTGGGCATATGTGGTAACTTATATGATTGCTCACAGTCTGACTGCAATATGCTAATCATCATTATAATTATAATCCCCATTAGTGGCCACAGCTTCTCATAGAGTCCCTCTGTGCACTGCAGGAGAGAGGAAGCGCTTGTGTTGGAAACAGTATTATGCTATAGCATCGTAAAAATCACAGTGGACTCAAGACTTCTGACTGAGAAAAACTCAATATGAATTTACATGCACTACTGTTCATAAGTGACAGTGAAAACATTTAGAGTATAATGTTACAAAAGATTTCTATTTCACAGTTAAATGCTGATCTTTTAAACTTTCTGTTCATCACAGAATCCTGAAAAAAGTCTTTGATGTTGAAAACTGCACATTTCAACTGCAGCTTTTACTAGAGGCTTTTGCATTATTTGGATATTTGTCATGCATTGTAATTATCAATCCTCCAATAAGTGAAACTGTGGTTTTCGCCTTTTTCGCCTTCATAATTTTCCGTTCTTCTAACAATTTCACGGCTCACTTTGTCTTTCTGTATCCCCAAATCAGCAAGTGTAAATCTCTGGCTAAATACAATCTGTTCCAGAGAAAAGTAAAGCTTTTTGTGAAATGCAGCTCTCTGTCACAAAAGCTAAAACTTTTTTTTCCAAGTTTGACATTAGTTTGAAATTCAGACAACAGTTGGAAATGACTGGCACAGATGGTGTGTGTGTGTGTGTGTGTGTGTGTGCTATGACAGGGGGTTTCCCACAGTCTCCTCTTGCCCTGTGGTGCCAGATGGTGCATTTCTAATGAAATAGAGCAATCGATCTGTAGAGTTTCTTCTTTTCTGTCTTTCTGTTTGTCTTGCTCTCTTTAGTCTAAAGTGGTTTATTGTTCTGTTTAATCAATGTGGAGGGTCTAATCCTGATAATATATTTGCAAAAGGTTATGTATCAGCATCTGGGTGTGTTTCCACTTAACTATATTTTAGGGAAAAAAATGTGTAAATCTGACAAAGTGTCTCTTTTGGTCCCTTTGGTCACATGATCCTTCAGAAATTAGTCTAACATGCTGATTTGGTGTTCAAGAAGCATTTCTTATTATTATCAATATTGAATACATTTGTGATGCTTGATATTTTTGTGGAAACTGTGATTTTTTTTTCAGGATTCTTTGATGAATAGAACATTTAAAATAACTGCATTAGATCTTTTGTAACATTATAAATGTCTTCACTGTCACTTTTGATTAATTTAATGCATTCTTGATGAATAAAAGTATTTAATAAAAAAAATAAAATCTTACTGAGCCCAAACATTTTTATTTTAAAAGTGTAGAAAATTTAGTTTGGTTTTAAAGTTAAGGTTTTTTTCCCCCCTCAACAGAGAACATGTTGAAAATTCACTATAAACCTATTTATCAATACATAATTTTGCTATAGGCAGTTTGTGACTTGGAATGCAAGTTCCAAATAAAGTGAAAAACAAAGCACAAAAACATAGAAGTGTATATAATATTTCTTCATTTTGATAGGTAAGTAAACTCTCATCTGCTCATTTATTAACTGTCAAAATAGGGAAAAATCCTAATAGTTTGTTTTAGCAGTACTATAATCATTCTTTCAGTCACTCATAAATTGCGTACATATGTAAGAAATCAGATTCTGTATAACCTGGAGGATAAGTGACATTAATCATCAGACTTGCTTTCAATTACACATCCAATTTATTGGCTTTGTGTGTCTCTTAAAAACTCCCATCATGCTTCTATGCGTCTGATTGGCAGGAAAACCATTGCAGGAGGATTAAGATCTTGGGAGACTGTTATTACTGTGTGTCCGGCCTGACCCAGCCCAAAGCGGACCACGCTCACTGCTGTGTGGAGATGGGTCTGGACATGATCGACACCATCACGTGAGTGTTTGTGGCCAAATCTCATTTTGTTTTAACAGCAGTCACTGAGCCAGCCAGCAGCAGCAGCAGCTACGATCATCTGACAGACTGTATTTGAAAGCTATAGTGATTTTATTTGTGTGTGTGTGTGTGTGTGTGTGTGAGAGAGACCTGCTCCACTATATTCATTTCTCTGCTCTGAATTTTAAGGCGGCTTTCACTGCTGCAGTCTCTTATCACCTCACACAGGTGCTAGAATATGCACACACACACACACACACACACACACACACACAAACACATGCATACGCGGACCAGAGCTCACACAGAAAGACATCTCTCTCTCTCTCTCTCTTTCTCACACACACACACTTTCTGTCTCACATTAGTGTAGATCTCCTGCTTTGTGCTGGTAGCAAACAGAGAAGAAATTCCTCCTGCCAAAGCTCTCTCTCTCTTCAATCATCAGATCCGGCATTATAGTGAGGGATGAGGAGAGAATAAAGAGCTTTTGAAAAAGAGGCAAAAAACCTGACTCTAGTTTTCTAGATAGGAAAATATAGGGTTCAGGGTTCCCACAGGTTTTCACCAATGAATTTTTCTAGGACCTTTCTTGTTGTTTGTGATTTTGTTTGTTATGGTGTTTATACGTGGTGATTTAAAATACATTTAAGATCTATTTGCTATAGAACTTATTGTATATGATTCATCCATGCATATGTTTCTTTTTTTTTTTTTTTTTTTACCTTAATTTTGTTATCGAAATGTCAAAACTCAGTCTTTTTGTGATATACCACAGATTTCTTTCTGGCGGCATTGCTGGACATGTCTAATCATTTAGTGTTATTTTAGTGTCGTTGAGTTACTATTGTGGGTTTTTTTTGCCTTTAGTTTTCATTTTAATTTTAATTAAAGTTTTTAAACTTTAATGTCCATATAGTTTTTAGAAATGTTTACTTAGGTTTTAGGTATTTTTGTACATCGAGTTAAATAAAATGAATATGACTAGCTGAAATAAAATAAATTTTGTATTATTTTATTTTATTTCAGTTAATGTTATATTTTAAGTAATGAGAATGTTTTTAGTTTTATTTTTAGTTATAATAACCCTCATCAAAACTTGATGAACAAAACCAAGTCCCACCCTACATTTTTTTTTTTACTTTTTCATAATCTATTTCACTCAAATTTATGTCATAGTATGGAAGAAAATAGCTGTCGCTACTTTTCATCGCAATTTTAAAAAAAAAGTTCAAATCAGTTTAATCTTTTGTTAATCTTTTGATCTACTAATGAATGATTTACAATGGTTTGTGAACAGGTTTAACAAATTAATAATAATAAAAAAAACAATCAAAAAACAGACAACTTAAAAAAGAAAACAGTTTGTTCACAGCTTGGACATCACTATAGTTTATAAGCAAATTTTATCTTCAAGTAATATTTAGACAATAAGATATTGAACAGCAGATTATAACTAAAATTAAAACTGAAATTTGAAGGACCTTTCCAGTTCCCTGGTTTGGAATGTCACTTTCCTGATATTTGCACCTTTTCTTTTAAATCAGTTAATTTACTTAAACGTTTATTTATTTAGCACTTAAATAAATTGTACTTTGGATGAATGCTTGAAATAATGTGCACTCACATGAAATAAAGGTTCCAGTCAAAGGTTATCAATGGCTTATAAAAAGCTCTATTGGTTGCCAGAATTTTGATATTGCCTAAATTTGGCAAAATGTATTACCTAAATTAGTAAATTAGTATCACATGTTTGGAGAACCCATTTCTAAAACTGAATCTGTAACTGAAAACTTCTGCTTTTTTAATGCTTCATCCACACCAGTAGGTGTCAGTATAAAGACCACTCATATATCGAAAATGAAAAGTTGACCTTTTTTTGTGAATATATGTATATAATCAGGTCTGTTGCGGAAGCGACTGAGGTGGACCTGAACATGCGTGTGGGTTTGCACACGGGCCGTGTGCTGTGCGGGGTTCTGGGGCTCCGCAAGTGGCAGTATGACGTCTGGTCCAATGATGTGACACTGGCTAACATGATGGAGGCAGGAGGATTGCCTGGGTCAGTCACTCACCACATTTAAAAACATGTTCAGATATTTATGCCATTTCTTCCTATATGAGCAGAAAGGTGAGAGTGTGATTGTTTGCCCCTCCCTCAACAGGAAGGTTCATATCACCAGGGCAACGCTGGAATGTCTGAATGGAGATTACGAGGTAGAGCCGGGATTAGGCCACGAGAGACACGCTTTCCTTAGCAAACACGCCATCGAGACGTTCTTCATCGTGCCCTCACACAGACGCAAGGTACAAACACATCATCATCACATCATACACAACATGAAACCACACTATAGTAAAGCATTTCACTTCAGGAATGTGGTGTTTTTTTTATTAAACTAAACTAAACCGTAAATAAAGAATTTCCAATTTCCAGAATTTGACTGGATTGTGAAAAGCTGGCATAACTTAGGCAGTAATATTATTGGGTAGTATTATGTTTCTCTTCCTACATGACTACATTGGCAGTAAAGATTTGGTAATTTTACTGGTTGAGAAAATGACTGCTTTTGATTAACAATTATTGACAACAAAACAGAGCCATTTACCCATTTAGCTTTTTTAAAGCACCTCTGAAGTCAGTTGATGAGCAGCTGTCTTTCCTTTTGAAATAGGAAGTGGGACATTTAAATAGACTATATTTACAATAGCCAATAGACTATATTTACATTACAGCCATGAACTATTTGCTTCTTGTTATTGCTAAAGTTATAGTAGTATTCATTCGTGTGGACTATATAGGAAGTATTCATTCTTAAAGATGTTCTCAGCATGCAACTGGACAAACATCTGTTGTGAACTTTGAAATTTGTATTCATCAAACAATCTTGAAAAAAATATATCATGGTTTTTACAAAAATATTAAGCAGCTCAACTATATTCAACATTGATGATAACAATAATTATAATCGTATTAGAATGATTTCTGAAGGATCATGTGACACTGAAGACTGAAGTAATGATGCTGAAAATTCAGCTTTGATATCACAGAAATAAACTGCATTTTAAAATACATTAAAATAGAAAGACATATATTTAAAATTGTAATAATATTTAAAAATTTTGGGTTTTGATGCATTTTTTTCCATCAAATAAATGAAAAGAGACATTTTTAAAAAACATGAAAAAATCTTACCAACCCCAAATGTTTAAATGGTTGTTTATACACGAGTCTCTCTAAGGTCTGATAACCTTAACACCCATAAGATGTCTATTTCTGTTAAAGGTTTGAGTTTCTATCTTAACAGTATCTTCCAGATCTGAGAGATGAGTGCAATGCAATAAAATGATCCACACATGCACAATCAAAAGCCTTACAAACATCCTAGTCCATCCGGAGTTCTTTACAGATGGATTAGAAGCGCCTTCTTTATATCACTTTTTTAAGTCACTTCTTTTTTTTCAGCCAACAGTCACCGCAGCCATTTTCTCACATTCAGTTAATCTCTTCTCTTTCCTCATTCCACATTTCTTCCCACCCCCTCTTTTTCTCTCTCTCTGCAGATTTTTCCTGGGCTGATCCTATCAGACATAAAGCCAGCGAAAAGGATGAAGTTTAAGACAGTGTGTTACCTTCTGGTGCAGCTCATGCACTGCAGAAAGATGTTCAAGGCTGAGATCCCTTTCTCCAACGTCATGACCTGTGAGGATGATGACAAGGTGCGTGATTATTAGCAAGGAGGACCAGGGGTGGCAATGACCTGCCACTTTTTTTCACATCAAATAAACATAGTTGACTGATATTAAATAGTTTTCTAGTTTGTTAAAATTGTTTTAACATCTGGAATATAAGGAATACACTACACAACCTTTGCCCAATTTTTTTTGCCTAGTCTGAACAAGCCAGCCTGCAGATTTTGGACAGTTTGAATTGACAGATTTCACAGAAATTGCGTAGTGTATGATAGTCACAGACTCTGTTTGATACTGTTTGATATTTTGAGAATTTTAGAACACATCGTTTTCATTTGTCATGTGTCTCCCAGCAACAAGGCGTAAGTTTCTGTGTGAGTTTGTTGTGTTCAGAACAACAGAAGTGTATGATGCCTTGTGTCTTTAAATTCTTCTTAAAAGTCATGTAATGTATTCCAGCCTTACAGTTGTAACATCTGATATTATTTCAAAGAGTTAACTATTTAAAGAAAGAAAATAAGACTACCCACTGACCCACAAAATCCCTGCATCGACACCAGCAAAATTAATGAAAGTGATAGTTTAGTCATACAAATGACTGCGATTGGCTGAACTCATACTGTATTTACTTATACAGTACAACAAAACGCTAATGAATATTAAGAAATATTTATATTTAAGTGTATATTACACCTGGCTATGAAAGTCATTTGGTTTTATTTTGTTCAAACATAAACAGATTTAAAGGGGTCATATGATGTTGCTAAAAAGAACATAATTTTGTGTATTTGGTGTAATGAAATGTGTTTATGCGGTTTAAGGTTAAAAAAACACATTATTTTCCACATACTGTACATTATTGTTTCTCCTCTATGCCCCGCCTTTCTGAAACGCGTAGATTTTTACAAAGCTCATCGGTCTGAAAAGCGAGGTGTGCTCTGAATAAAACCACTCCTGTTACAGTTTAAGATTACTGAGTTTATGAGGTAAAATTGGTAACACTTTAGAATAGGGAACACTTATTCACTATTAACTTGAGAAATTAAAATTAATTGTGGTCTGATGTTCAATCGAAGTGGCATATCAGAATGGTCTGCCCTAATGTAGTCAAGTGTATCTGCACAACAACCAAATTTACAAAGGTTTGGCTCATGAATATTGATAACTCAATTAATATTTATGAGCTAAGACATCACCATGTCATGATGTCACAACCAGTCATTGAAAAGTTCCTTTGCTGATGATATATTGTGATTGCTGTTTTTTTAAATCCTCCAACATGTATTAATCCAAGATCCCAAAATCACCCGAAGTCACCTTTCACACCCACACAAATCACATTCACTGTGTTAATCCAGTGCACTCTCTAATGCCACTCCTTCAGATGAGTGGATGATTGCACACAGATCCAATCACTACTGCAGATTTACTGTTCTCATCATGTCTAACTCTCTCTGTATGTGCGTGTGTGTGTGTGTTTTGACTTGTATCAGTGCATAATTAAACATCTTATCACCATTGCATGTGTGAGAAAATATGCTGAGATGTGTTGAACACCCATCTGTCACCATGTACTGTTGATGTGTGTGTAGATGAGTTTAAAAGTACACGTGAGTGTGCTGTTCTTTCTTTTTACCTAATTGTAATGGGGTAGTTTACCTTAAAATGAACTTTTGTAATCATGTACTCATCCTCATGTCATTGTAAGCCTGTATGCACACAAATAAAGTCATTTTGTAATGTTAACTCTGTCAAACTAAAAAAATCACCATAAAAGAGGTCCATATGACTCCTGGCAATATATTTTAAATCTTCTGAAGTCATATCATAGCTTTGCATGTAGAAGAAACCTAAATTTATGACACTATTTACTGAAAATCTTCATTTCAGTTGGAAGTTATTTGTATCTAAACTTGAATTTTCAAATTTGGAATCTGCGATACTGTAATTCAATGTAAATTTTCCCTGTGTTTCCAGAGACGAGCGCTACGAACAGCTTCTGAGAAGCTGCGCAATCGGACGTCATTTTCGGCAGGCATGGTGCAGAACTCTCCCGGGACCAGAGTGAACCGTTACATCGGCCGTCTGATAGAAGCACGACAGACAGAGTCAGAGACGGCAGACCTCAACTTCATTACCCTCACATACAGGAGCAGAGAGAGAGAGCAGAGAGTGAGTACACACTTGACCCACAAGGCTGGCTTAAATGTTTAATGCATCTGCATGATGGGTAAACATGTATGTGAGAGCAGGACTAGTTGTCACTAGTACTAATACAATAAAAACTGTAATATTGTGAATTATTGCAATTTTAACAATATTAAATATAAAAAAAAAACATTATTATCAATGTTGAAAACAGTTGTGCTGCTTCATATTTCTATGTAAACTGTGACACATTTTTAGGATTCTTTGCTGAATGAACAGCATTTATTTGAATTAGAAATCTTTTGTAACACTATAAATGTCTTTAATGTCACTAAAGATCCACTTAAGACTCCTTTCAGACTAAAAGTATCGATTTCTTAAAAAAAAAAATTGACCCCAAACTTTTGAATGGTGGTGTATGGCTATGCAGAAACTTGAACAAAATAAACCTACTCTAGGAAATATTCGCCGAAGTGAAAAGTGTGACAACCTGCCCGGTGTCCCTAATACAGCAGTAGTGCATTGGCAGGAGTGACATGGCGAAATGTGAAAGAGATGGATTGAAGAATTTCCTCAGACACACACGCAGCATCCCCCGCATTGTTCTGTTGTGCTTCGTGACTCCCTGTCTCCTCTCACTTTCAACATCCTCTCTCCCTCTCATCTCTCTTGCGCTCTCCTTTCTCACTAGCTCTCTCCATTGCTCTGTTCTCTATTTCTTTGCCTATATTCAGTCCTCTCCAATCCCTCCCAACTTCGATTCATGTAAAACGTCCGCCCACCCTAACAGAATGGGGGCAACAGTAATGATTTGGGAAAATCTGTCAGACTCACGACATATATTCTCTCTTTCTCTCTCTCTCTC